GCAGAAGGAAAGAAAGATGCTTGAGGCATTCGAAATGTGGACATGGAGGAGAATGGAAAGGATAAGCTGGACAGAAAAACTAACGAACGAGGAAGTCCTAAAAAGAGTAAACGAGAAGAGAACATTGATTGAAATAATAAAGAATAGAAGAGGCAAAATGCTGGGCCACCTTATACGACATGACGATTTTTTTAAGAGCATAATAGAAGGAAAGATAGAGGGCAAAAGAGGAAGAGGAAGGCCGAGGATTAACTATTTGGGACAGATAAAGGAAACTAGGCGTCATGTCGTATAGGGAGATAAAGGATATGGCCTGGGATAGAGCTGGCTGGAGGAAGATGCATGAATTAGTTGCACCGACAAGAGGAAACTCTTAAATGAAAAGAAGAAGATTTGCTATAGTGCATTAAAGTTACAGAATTGTCATTTTATGAAAATTAAATACAATCTTAATATTTTATAGTTAATTATTAATATTAATTATTGTAAACAACTTGACATGTACGTACAAATTGTAATTACCTGTAGTGTGTTGGAGTTTGATCATCTGTAAACTTCAGGTAATAATAAATAAATACAATAATAAGAAAATATATTATAGAAAAAAAAATAATTATGTATATTTTTGTTTATGGTGTAATAAAGAGTTAAATAAATAAATAGCCTGACCTTCATTACACAGGATTTTCCTAGAATGAAGGCCAGAGACACTTACTTAAAGAAAAGAAAAAGGAAATAATAATAAAAATAAATAAATATTTTGTTGAAATTTTTACAAAAACTGCCATTCTCTAAATGCATTTGGTATCAAATCAAAACCTCCAATTAATAGTTTTTTTTTTTTATTTTAACTACCATTGAATATTAGCAGAGTTTCTTTTGATTGCTTTAATTATTTTTTAAAAGTTGCACTCTTGTCGGTGGAGCTCTTGCCACTCACTACGATTTTCAGCGAGTCTCTTCACCTCTTGATACGACACGACACCAAATCCTTGCTTGATCTGCCTGATGTAATCTTGGTGTGATGGTGCCTTGGTCTCTCCCTTCCCCTTCTTCCTTACTTATCTTCTATTATCATCATATCAGCTTTTAACTGTCCACTGCTGGACATAAGTCTTTCCCATAAGGGGAGTCTTGCCAGTAGTTGCAACGCTTGGCAGGTGGGTTGTCAACCGCAGTTAGGCTTTAGAGATGTCTTAAGAGGGACGCTGCTGCCCACCCCTCGCCCTCCCTTAGTTGCCTATTCACGACACCCACAGGAAAGGAAGGAGTGGCCTATTGTATGCCAGGAGTACACGGCGATGATACCTACATACATATATAATTAAATTAGTTACACAACGTGGGGTGAGTGGACGCTGTAATCTTGTTACTGAAGTTCAGTTAAACTGCAGAATGACGTAATTGGACTAATTCGGGGCTAAAACTCGGCTGTGTAATATAATACTCATCTAAAATTAACCTAGTTTACATTATTTTATTAACAAATATTTTTAACCGACTTTGTAGAAGTATACACTATCCGTTTAAGTATGTTTATAGTCATAAAAAGTGATTAATTCTGAACCAAATGTGATAGTAATTTTATAATTGATAGGTTTTTAATACCACTGAGGTGGCAAACAAGTATACCCATCTGATGGTAAATAATTACCGTAGCCTATGAACGCCTGCAATATCAGGGTATTACGCGCGCGTGGCCAACTCCGAAGAAACTTCTGTACCCTGTTTTTGAAGAGCTTCATGCTATAGTCTCTTGAAAGAACCTAAATATATAATAGCTAATTTTATAATCTGAGCATTTGTGGGAGAAAACATCTCTGAAACTGCGCTGTACGCGACCATCTAAGCTCTAGGGTATGAGGGTGAACTCCCTGTCGAGGGCAAGCCGTGAGCATCATATTGAACAATTTCCCTGTGCACAATCCGTTGTACAAGGCAAGTTTCAAGCTGTGTGACTATCCTATTTATTCCAAACAAGCTGACGGTCCACCTGATGGAAAGTGGTAACCCTCGCCTATAGACATGAGCAGTACCATGGACATAACAGAGTATACTGTTTCGCCCATGATACCCCCCATGCGTTGCCATTCCTGAGGACTCAGGTGTTATTCCTCTGTACCCTGTAAATGCACTGTCATGTCCTACCCTTCAAACCGAAACACAGCCATGCAAACACAACTGCTTCCCGGTTGAAACACGAATAAGACAGAGGTACCTAAGCAAACGACTTTTCTACAAAGTCTTCCTCTGGCTTCCTCCTGGAAACCACCGTGATTGATTCATTGTTGAATTTGCCACGTTGGGCTAACTGATCTGCTTCATCCTCACCTATCATCCCTCACTGGGCTTCGCCAGTGTATACCGATAGCGCAGACGGGAATACTATTTCATTGTCATCCATTAAAAAAAAATACAGTACAATTGTTGATAATTACAGTAACCTCACAGCTGAGACAGCTGACTCATCAGACATATGGTTTTATAAATTGACACGTCTCATATCTTTATATAGCCTGGCCGCTTGCTAGTCGGTTTGTATGGTCATGTATGCGATACTCAAGGCGAACATATCTGCACAAAAGTTAACCATATCGATTATTATATTTATTAATCATTGGCATATCATTTCATATCTTTTAACCGTCCACTGCTGAACATAAGCCTCCCCCTTGGGGGGGTTTTGCCAGTAGTTGCCACGCTTGGCAGGTGGATTGACAACCGCAGTTCTTTTTTATCCTTTTTATGAGTGATAATGGAATGGTGACCCCACCCGCGCTATCGGTATACACCGGCGGGGCACCAGTGAAGGATGATAGGTGAGGATGAAGCAGGTCAGTTAGCCCATCGTGACGAATTCAACAAGAATTGTTCCAGGGGGAACCACGTGGAGGTCGACCTGATAGGGCATATTGCTATCAATGGGGCTGTCAAACTCCATTGCTAACAACCCCTTTCCCCCCGACTACCGCAGTTAGGCTTCAGTGATGTTTTAAGAGGGACGCTGTTGCCCATCCCTCGCCCTCTCTTAGTCGGCTCTTACGACACCCACGGGATAGGTCTATGCCGGGACCGCACAGCCATATTTATCAATACTTACATCAAATTTTATTATAAAATATCTCTTTGCCTGATACTTCGTATACGTGGATTTCGTATTTATTTATTTATTTTCTTTGAAAAAAACACAACAGAGCGAGACTTTGTACAAAAGTCGATTGCTTGGGTACCTCTGTCCCATTCGTGTTTCAACCGTGAAGCAGCTGTGTTCGCATGGCTGGGTTTCGGTTTGAAGGGTATGATATGGCGTGAATTTACTGGGTACAGAGGAATAACACCTGAGTCCTCAGGAATGGCAACGCATGGGGGGTATCATGGGCGAAACAGTATACTCTGTTATGTCCATGGTACTGCTCATGTCTATAGGCGACGGTTACCACTTTCCATCAGGTGGGCCGTCAGCTTGTTTGCCATTCTAAGTTGTATAAAAAAATCTACATAGTTTATTATAGATATACAAGACATTGGGCAAGATTGATACCCTAAAACGTGTTAGCACAACATGAATGCAGATGCAGTTTCATTAAAGTTTTTTCTTGATGGGTGAAAATGGAATGGTAACTCCGTCTGCGCTAACGGGATACGCTGGCGGGGCACCAGTGACGGGTGATCGATGAGAATGAAAACAGGCCAGTTAGCCCATCATGATGAATTCATAAGGAATTAAGCATGATAGTTTCCAGAGGGAACCGCGAGGAGGTCGACCTGGTTGGGTATATTGCTAGCAATGGGATTCTTAGTCTCCATTACTAACAATCCCTTTCCCCCCGTTTCATTAAAGTTAACAGTGGCATCTATTAAAAATTACTGAAACAATTGAACGTCACACTTTGAAACTTTTTATTAAATATACCACTTTTAGATGGAGATATTTATTATTTAGATTTTCCGGAACAGAACTGCGAAAATCGCATTCAATTTGGTGCAGTGGTTTTTGCGTGATACCGGAACAAACATACAGTTAAATAGGGAAATAAAATTTCTAAAAAGTATTATTTTGGCTTCTATAACTCTCATTAAGACTTTCATATCTATTTTTTTAAATATCTCTCTTGCATAGATAAAGTTCAGATATAATTATATTATATTAGTAAGATATATTCAGTTGTCTGTTTGGGTACTATTGTCCCACTTCTGTCATGACGTCTTGGATGTATGATGGTATATGACAGTGGTTATACATAAAATGTTTATACCTCAGTAGGTCACCACCCACTTAAAGAGGCATAAACATTATAGTCCTTAGGAATAGCAACGCACGGGGCACCAGGGGTATTACAGCGTATTTTATGGTGCCCATAGTTAATTCTTATTTATAAACAGTTACCACTCGTCGTTTGTCAAGTCTCATAAAAAAACAATGCATCATGACGTACTTAGATCGCAGTTATATATATATATATATATATATATATATATATATATATATATATATATATATATATACATGCTAAATATAATTATTATTATTATTATAAAAAAATATTAATATGCTATTTTATAATTACAACTGTAATTTTATAAACATGCACTATTATATATGTATACTTTAGGACACGGTTTATATGTGTAACGCATCTAAAAATCTTTATGTACAAAACGGTTAAAAGTACCCGTAACCGGCGAGCGTGTATGAAAAGATTGATGAATGTGGAGGAAGTGAAAGAGGTTTTGTTTGAATCGAAGCACTTGGCGTTCCATTGTTTCTGCCTACCCTAATGGGAGACAGGCGTGACAGATATGTATATGTAAAACGGTTAATTAATTGTCATTAAAACAACAAAAACGCCTGTAACCTACATCTCATACTATAATAATAAGTTGTACTTCAAAAAGTAGTAATTAAGAATACTTATCTACAAACGTAAATATTTATGAAGGGAACAAGGTTTTTTAAATTGCATTTAGTTTATTGTTCTGTAATTGTACCACTGTACATGAATTATTTATGTGTAGACATACTGTAACAGAAACCACGATCGCATGCACAAAATATCATTATAAATATGCAATAACAACGCAGCATCGCGTGAGAATGCACCTAATTTTAAAACAAACCGCGGCCACCCCGACTTCTGAATCGTCTGCCTACACAATGCATTTATTAAACACGTGCACATACTAATTACGTATGAGCAGCGTCATATAGTCTGCAATGTCATCTCGTATCTCGTTTCCGAACGCCTTTTACCGGTCATCCCCCCGATATTATAAAAGAGGTGCATGTTCGCCGCGCGCCCGCAGTCCGACCCGCGCCATCGAGCGATACGCACGCTTCTGTTATGAAATAGTGGTGTCCCCACGCGCGACAGACATGGAGGGGCTCCCTCCCAGCCAGGGCGCACCCGAGCCCGACGAGGGCATCGCCTCTGACCGCCGCCCGTCCACCGACGACCACGCCGACTTGTCCGATACCGCGTCGGAGGCCGGCTCTGGAGGCGGCAAAGACTCCGGCTGCGAAGTCGCCGCCGAGCCCCAGGAACCTCCCTATACACCCCCTGATGATGAGCTCGCCAACCGGATAGTGTCGCAGGTCGAATTCTACTTTTCGGATGCCAATATCACTAAAGACGCTTTCCTCCTTAAACATGTGCGCCGAAACAAGGAAGGGTATGTCTCCTTGAAGTTGATATCTAGCTTCAAACGGGTGAAGCATCTCACGAAAGACTGGAGAGTCGTCGCTGAAGCTCTGAAGAGGTCCACCAAATTGGAGATCAACGAGGCGGGTACGAAGTTACGCAGGATCGACCCTCTGCCAGCATACGACGAGACTACGCCCTCTAGGACAGTGGTAGCAGTCAGGATGCCCATCGATCGTCCCACAGTTGAGAACGTATCGAGATTGTTCGCGAGTTGTGGCGAGATTGCTCTAGTTCGTGTGCTGCGACCCGGCAACCCGGTCCCGGCGGACGTCCGCCAGTTTCTTAACAAAAACCCGAGTTTGGTTAACTGTGTGTGTGCGTTAGTTGAGTTTACCGAGTCTGAATCGGCGAGGGAAGCGCTGCGGCTACAGGCTGCGGACGAGGAAGGTATGCGTATATATGAACTAAACGGTGTGCCCCGAGAACCGAAGAGGAAGGCTCCGGCTCGTCGCCCGCCACCTCGCCGTCACGAGTGCGAGTACTCATCATGTTGTAGCGGCTCAGAACCAGAGTACGACTACAGATATGGGACACCCTTCTACAGGAGGAATTCAAGCGGATTCTTTGCGCCTCGCTCTCCCGAAATCCAGACTTGGGTACCGCGGCGGCCGTCCACATGTAGTCATAGTTCTGATTCCGGGGTCTCGTTCTACTGCAATTCGAGGAGAACTTCACAGGTGAGCACTGGGAGCGCTAGCAGTGCGGAGGGGTGGCTGTCGAGGCGACTATCGGGTTGTTCGCTGTCTGGGACGGAGTGCGGCGGACGGCGGCTGTCGTGCGCGCCCCGCTTCGAACCGCGGACCCCGCTAGTGCCGGACGGTACGCGCGGCTTCCACGCCGCCGCCCGCCAGCGGCGAATATCGGACCTCGCGTTGTACTCGCGCTAGAAAGCGCCCGCCAACCGTGACACCTTTCTAATCACGTTGGATAACTGCCTTTCACGAAGCCGCGCGGTTTTCGATCTATTTTGTAGTAGGAAGCGATGCTATGTTGAATTGTTTATGTGATCGCGTGTGTTCCGCTAGCCGATTTAGATTTTAAGATTTTTCTTTTTTTTTATCGTGTAACGAATAGAAGCTCGTTCGGTCGTATTTTTGTATTTCAATTATATAGTTACCTACTGTCGACCGATCGAACTTCTCCTCGTGGCGAATGTGATTGAAATAAGCTCATTTAGTTGTTAAGACACAGCTGTGTTTAGTTTTAGTTCGTAATATTTCTTAAAAGTAATTTATTAGATTTATTTATTGTATCGCGTATTTATTGAGAGGTGCGCGCGCGCCCGTGGCCTGAGTTTTCATTCCATGTGTGTCAGAGTTTGAGCACAAATATGACATACAAAATCGACATTCTGTGGTTGTAGGCTCCTATGCCTTTTGCGATGGGAGCGTACCGCTATATATAGCAGCTGTATTATACAGATTTGCGTAACACGCATGCACTTATTACAGTGTAGAGATTAGATTAACGCTCACCAAAGTAAAAGGTGCTGTCATTTCGCCAGACAGAGCTACATGATCCACGGTGCGTTACGGCGTAACTAACCGTGCATTGTATTTTTTTTTTTAATTTAAGTCATTATAACCGAAGTCAGTCGCGCCATCATATTATTTTCCATTTAAGGTTTTTTTTTTTAATGTTATTTTAAGGTTGATGTGATTTATGTATATAGAGTGAGCGGGTTTCATAATTGTGACTTTTACAATTAATTCTAATGTATATAGATGAAGCCGATTATGTATAAAGCAAATGTATATTTAAATAGACGCCGCAAATTTATTTTTGGGTCAATTTTTGATCTAAAAATACCCTAGATACGAGCTATATATGAACTTAATGTCGAAATAATTTTATAGAGTTTGAAAAAAGTAGGATTATAAATTGTAAACATTATTAATTGTATTAATTTAATACAATTAATATCATACAACAATAAATTTTATTGTTCATTAATTTATCAGCAATTTACTGATGATTAAATTCCAACACATTGCAGGCAATTATAATTTTTGTATATGTCAAATTTTACTTAGAGTATTTATTGCATTATTGTTAATATTTTTTTTTTATTATATTAGTATTTTTGGGTACTAGATTTGTTGACAATAATAATTAGAGATTATGGTGGTATAATGCGTTAGTTCTCGGGAATCGTAACGCACGAGCGGCGCTATGGATGAAACATTGTATATTGCATATGTGTCTATGGGCGATAGTTTCTTTTTTTCTTGATGGTAGATAATGAAATGCTATCGGTATACGCTGGCGGGACACCAGTGAAGGAGGATAGATGAGGATGGAAGCAGATTAAGTTGGTCCATACTGATGAAGTCAATAAGAATAAATCACTATGGTTTTCTGGGGGAACTGTGTGAAGGTCAACCTGATAAGGTATATAGCTAGTGTAGCGAACTCCTTGCTACATTTTTATATTCTTATTGTCATTCGAAATTTATATATATTTTTTTGACATATTGTTTTTTACATTCAAATACATTTTGCTAATGTCTGTCTCCCCATCTTTTCTGCAGTTTTCCATTCTAAAATCCTCTCATTGCATATTAAAAGTATTATCTCCGTTTCAGCTAGCAATGGGGCTATTAGACTCCATTACTAACAATCCTTCTGCCCCCTATAGGTGATGGTAATCACTTTCCATCAGGCGGGCCGTTAGCTTGTTTTCTATTCTAAGTTACATAAAAAATAGCTTTGTAATTATGTCAAACAGTAAAATAATAAGGTGATTAGTTGTTTTATATGTAAAATGATATTTGCGGCGTCTAAAATTATGTATATTTATAGTACGAAGCTTGTTTCGAAGCACGATTTGTCTGTCTGTGTATAGACGTGAAACGTCGCAAGGTGCTTGCCGGCTGTCCTAACTGTATAGAGATGATAATATAAGATTTTTTTTGAGAAAAGCGTGTTTAATTCTATGACCTTGAGTATGGAAAGTGCTTGTGTCGAGTCCGAGTGCTGTTCGCCTTGACTGATCGATTCTCACGCTGTGACAGATTGTGAAATAGGGCGGCTTTTTTTATGAGTGATAATGAAATGGTAACCCCGTCTGCGCTATCGGTGCACGCTGGTGGTACACCAGTGAGAGATGATAGGTGAAGATGGAAGCAAATCAAATGACCGACGAATTCAACAAGAATTAACCACGATGGTTTCCTGAGGGAATTGCGGTGAGGTCGATCCGTTGCTAACGTTATTAACAATTTTTCTCCCTAAAATGGGGCGTTATCACAAAATACAGAAGAAAAGCTTTTATTTAAATGCGTTACCAATTGAGTTGTCTCCTTATTATTACGCACAGATATATAGCAACCATTATTAGCATTATTTTAATAGTGTTTTTCTAGTGAAATGGAATATTTTCTGCAAAAAAAAAACATAAGTTGGTAATTAAATTGGTGAACAACGATAAATTTCAAGCCTACTTTGTTATCGATTTCAACCTATGTAAGAATCTTTTTTTTTATACAACTTAGAATGGCAAACAAGCTGACGGCCCACCTGATGGAAAGTGGTAACCGTCGCCTTTAGACATGAGCAGTACCGTGGACATAACTAAGTATACTCTTTCGCCCATGATACCCCTCATGCGTTGCCATTCCTTAGGACTCAGGTGTTATTCCTCTATGCCCTGTAAATTCACGCCATATCCCACCCTTCAAACCGAAACACAGCTATGCAAACACAACTGCTTTACGGTTGAAACACGAATGGGACAGAGGTGGCCAAGCAAACGACTTTTGTACAAAGTATCCCTCTGGTTAAATCTATTTTGAATCGACTTCAAAAAGAAGTAGATTCTCAATTTGGTTGTATATTTTCTTATGTTTGTTGTCATACATGTAACTATGTTAGTTGTAAACCGATTTGGAGAATTATTCATCTGAGTAAACTATTTTTAGATTAAAATAACTGGTTTTGTTACAACAATTAAAGTCGGTTTTTTTGTTAACACAATCTTCAATTATTAATTGGGAAATAATCAAATATGTTATCCTATAATCAAATTAGGAAATAATAAATAATGTAATACAAGAATTCTTTTTTACCTTTTTTAATTCATTTATATTGTTTTATTTGTTTTTTTTTTTTTTGCAATTTATTGATTATTATTAATATTATAGATTTAACATGAAAACAAATCATAACAATTGTAAAGGAATTATTAAAATTGGTTCAGTTGTGTTTGCATTGCTGTGATTCGGTTTGAAGGGTGGGATATGGCAGTGAATTTACAGGGTACAGAGTAATTACACCTGAGTCTTCAGGAATGGCAACGCATGGGGGGGGGGGTATCAAGGGCGAAACAGTATACTCTGTTATGTCCATGATACAGCTCATGTCTATAGGCGACGGTTACCACTTCCCATCAGGTGGACCGTCAGCTTGCTTGCCATTGCCATTCTAAGTTGTATAAAAAATTTACGATATAATCTGGTAACACAGCAACAAACAGACTTCAGATTATTTCTTTTATGTCACGAAGGTGGCATCATGGATACAAGCCCGTGTGACGGTAAACTGTCAATGCAGCTTATGAACGCCTGCAATATCAGGAATGTGACATGTGCGTTTCATACTCAACTTTATACGCCCTTTTGGAGGGAAAGGTATTGTTAGTAATAAGATCTAATAGCCCCATTGCTTGCAATACATCCTCGTAGTTCGACCTCCACGTGGTTCCCCTTGGAGACCATCATGGTTAATTCTTGTCGAATTCATCATGATGAGCCAACTGACCTGTATTCATTCTCACCTATCATCTTCCACTGGTGCTTCGTCGGTGTATATCGATAGCGCGGGCGGGGATACCATTCCATTTTTACCTATTAAAAAAAATACGACCTTTTTGCAGAACTCCTTACTGTAGTCTCTAGGAAAAATCTCGGCAGGAGCTCATTCTACAGCCTGAGCATTCGCGGGAAGAAACTGCTTTGATACCGCACTGTACGCGACTTAAGGCGATTTAAGGCACTTAATTGGATAAAAATTAATGCTGTATTGTTTAAAATCACTTCGTAAATACTGAAATAATTCCCTGTCGATGGTGAGCGATGGAATTCTCTATTTTTTTTTTGTGAGTCATTTAAAAGCAGTTCAGTGTTAACAATGCAAAACTTTTCTCATTAGGCACTGTGTTTGCATGGCTGTGTTTCGGTTTGAAGGGTGGGATATGGCGTGAATTTACTGGGTACAGAGGAATAACACCTGAATCCTCAGGAATGGCAACGCATGGGGGGTAACATGGGCGAAACAGTATACTCTGTTATGTCCATGGTACTGCTCATGTGTAAAGGCGACGGTTACCACTTTCCATCAGGTGGGCCGTCAGCTTGTTTGCCATTCTAAGTTGTATAAAAAAAAAAACTTGATAATTAACAATTGTATAATTTATTAACTGTCAGAAGATATATCTATTGTTTCATCAAAACATTTTCTCAAGTGAAATATCATTTATCTAATGATATTCGCAAGACCTTGACGCGTCTCAGGCGGTCAGAGATAAAATAGTGAATATCGTTTAGAACTATAATTAGCAAGCGCCAATAACTTATTTAAATCAATTATCGTATAGAGATTTTGAAAATCTCTTGTGGAAAATTCACATAGGTAGCTAGTTGTGTACTGTGACGTCGCTCGTGCTTGTATTACGATGGTGAATAGCCTATGACCTTCGTCAAGAAATGAGTTATCAAAGGTGAAAATAATTTATCAAACTTTAGTCATTTACTATCAGGTGAGCCGCGTGTTCGTTTGCCTCTTGTGTCATAAATAAAAAAAGAAAATCATCACGGCTCGCCATCGACAGGGACGACATCGACATCATCGTCATGTCCTACAGCCTCAATGGTCGCGTACTGCGCGGTTTCAGAGATGTTTTCTCCCACGAACACTTAGGTTGTGGAATGAGCTCCCTGCCGAGGTTTTCCCAAGAGACTACGGCATGGGGTTCTTCAAAAGGAGGGTAAAGACGTTTCTTCAGAATCGGCAACGCACGCGTAATACCTCTGGTATTGCAGGTGTTCATAGGCTACGGTAATCACTTACCATCAGGTGGGCCGAATGCTTGTTTGCCACCTCAGTGGTATAAAGAAAAAGCTGACTGGTAGTAACAGATATTAGCAGATTTGAATAAACACACTCTTTCGCTTTATACATTAGTAGGTATAGATTAACATCGGATGATGTGAGGTTACTATTAGACAGGCGAAATTTAAATTGTCTTATGCAACTTAGAATAGCAAACAAGTGGACGGTCCACCTGATGGAGAGTGGTAACCGTCGCCTATAGACATGACCAGTACCGTGGACATAACAGAGTATACTGTTTCGTCCATGATACCCCCCTGATGCGTTGCCATTCCTGAGGATTATACAATTTTGTTTGATAAATAGTGATGAGTGATTCCTTTATAACTTCTTTTTAAATTTATTTTGTCTTATAATTTCTGCATCCTTTTAATGCGCTAACACTCATTTTGTTTAATAAATATTATAATATATCAAGATACATTTAATACGTACGTATATAGAACAATGATTAAAAAAAAACGAGACAGCTAATTTCACAATTAGCTGACAAAAAGTTGACCTGTTTTTGAGGCTTGATGCTCTATCTACAATATATAATATAAGGTGAGCAAGTATTTTTTGTTCAAAAAGAGTACACTTTGCAAGTATTTCATAGGTGAAAAAAAGAAAAAAAAAACGATAAATACTTTATTTTCTTTTGAAAACATATTTTTCTTCGGAGTGGGGTTTTTTTTACTAAATGAGGATGTTCGTCTAATAATGTAGCCACATCCGAACAACTTTCATTTTGCATATTAAATTTGACTGTTAAGACGGCAGATAATGTTTTTACAGAATGTTGCGACTTCTCACCGCTCCAATAATCATTCCCTAGTGAAAAATACCCTTTCAACAGCAGCATTAATGCGTAGTGGACAACATAAGGAAATTATCTATTAAAACTTTTAAATTTTCACGTGGGATATGTTCTACTAAAATTCTAATGAAATTCTAATATTTATACCACTGTGGTGGCAAACAGGCATACGGCCCACCTGATGGTAAGTGGTTACCGAAGCCTATGAACACCTGCAACACCAGAGGTGTGCGACACGCGTGCGTTGCCGACTCTGAAGAAACCTCTTTACCCCCCATGCTGTAGTCTCTTGGGAAAACATCGTCAGGGAGCTCATTCCACAACCTGAGTGTTATTTAACTAATGATATTATTTAAATGAAAAGTTTGTTTAATATATGTGTAAATAAATCAATAAATAAATAAATCACTGTCAAAATAATTATAAAAATTTAATTAATAAAATTGAATCTAAAAGAATGTTTTAAAAATACAAATGAGTATAAAATTGTACAAATGAGTACGTTCACAGTACATGATTTGAAAAGAGTACGGTTTGCGAATAAAAGTGTACAAAACTCAGTAAATGAGTATAGTTGGTCACCTTAGTAAATATTAAATCTATCGGAGCCACTTGACTTTGTATCTTGACTGGTTTCTGCCATCTTCAACGTCTGCCCTTCACATATGATCCGTTAACATTTACTATTACGTATAAGTATTATGACTAACATATATAATTGCTATTTGCAATTAAGCATACTTGTTTACTCGGAAGTTTGAAGGTGGACATCTGGTGGAACCTTGTACCAGTACCAACCTTGACTTGCACCGGCAGAAAAGGCGGTAACCCTATTAATAAAATACCCAATTTTTTATTGACAGGGTTTTTTAGGTAACTCGTCGAAGTGACCACACCCTATCTGATGTAAAGAGGTTATTTTTTTTTTATTTGTAATAATGGAATGGTAACCCCGCCTGTGCTAATGGTATACGCTGGCGGGGCATCAATGAGGTATGATAGGTGAGAATGAAAAGGCAGGTCAGTTAGCCCATCGTGATGAATACACCTGGAATTCAGCACGATGGTTTCCAGGGGGGACCACGGGGAGGTCGATCTGATAGGGTATATTGCTAGCAATGGGACTGGTAGTTCACATTACTAACAATCCCTTCCCCCCCAGTAGGTCATATTAGCCATTATTTATTTAATTAAACTTTAATGCATAGTGAAACTGTACGTATATTTGGCAGACCTAACGCCGGACGGTGGGGGAAAGGGATTGTTAGTAATGGAGACTGAGAATCCTATTGCTAGCAATATACCCAACCAGGTCGACCTCCTCGCGGTTCTCCCTGGAAACTATCATGGTTAATTCCTGATGAATTCATCATGTTGGGCTAACTGGCCTGTTTTCATTCTCATCTATCACCCTTCACTGGTGCTCCGCCAGCGTATCCCGTTAGCGCAGGCGGGGTTACCATACCATTTTCACCCATCAAAAAAAAAACACCGGACGGTGTTCTCTATCAGTCAACTATTGGGTAAACCGAGAAATAAGTAGACGTATCT